ATATCAGTGTTCTTGAGCGAGAGCGGGCGCGTGTCCTCGGGCGCCCTGTCGGTTTGCAACTCGCCGACGAGGTTGTCCCCTTTCGGCAGGAAGGCGAAGTCAGAGTCGTTCAGGTCGTGGATGAAATTGGCGTTCGAACAGAGGTGGAACGAGAGGTCCTCGAGCAGGTCCAGCGACGAGTCGCGCGCGAGCCAGGCGCGATAAGGAAGGCAATCAGGGCCAGGAGCCGACGGAGAGGTGCGAGCCAGGAAGGCGCGGATCTGCATCTTGGTCGGCGCGCCCACGTCGATGGTGGCCACCAGCGGCATGTGCTCGGCGATGTACTGCTTGACCTTGACGGAGTCGACGAGCTTGTGTGCGAAGACGGGCTTCCAGTAGGTGCGAAGGGCGCCCGCCATATCGCAGCTCTCTCTGGCGACCCCAGGGGGGCCATTTGGGCCCGAGATTTTGATGCCCTGGAGGGCCAGACGACGCTTCCAAGGGGCCCAAAGGAGAGCCCGCCTCTGCGAGGCGCGCAAGATTCGGCAGAGTTTCTCGGGCTCGAGGACCCCTGCCGCACCAGGGGGGCGCTGGGCCGCTCTTTGCGCCAGAGAGCGTTGCCGAGCCTCGAAGTCGCGGTGGAGCGAGGCTGACATGTCAGCGAACTCGGGCTGGTTGATGATCGCGATGAGGCCGTCGGTGATCGAGAGGTACTTGGCGCCAAGCTCGGCGGTGGACTGTAGGCGGCGAGCGAGAGCAACATCCTGGCGCCAGACCGAGCGCGAGATCGAGCGCGCCGTGAGGACCCGTCCGTCGGCATGGTTGGATTTGTTGCCGTCCCCGATGGAGCTGACCCAGTCGTCGCGGACGAGCCTCGCGGCTTCGACCATGAGGCGCTTGTGCGTGCGCCAGCGGTTCTGGATGGGGACGTGCTGGGACTTGGTGTGGGTGATCAGTTGGTCCAGGTACTTGGCGTAGCTCGGGTCGCGGAAGATCGCGGGGGGGATAGCCGGATCGATCGTCGGCGTGCGCGGCTTGATGCCAATGGTGTAGGAGATGATCGCATGGTCGCTGAGGAAGGAGTCGGACAGGATGGCAGGGTCGTGTACAATGTTGATCTGCGATGTGAGCTCGAGCATGGCATGGGGCGGCAAGCTGATGAAAACGCGGTCGATCGCTGAGGCGGAGAAGTCGGACTTGGTGAAGCGGATCGGTAAGTCGGATTCAATTTCGAGCATGGAATCGAAGAGTGCTTTCCAGAAAAGGCTGCTGCTGACGGGCGCTGTTGTCCAGCGCAAGGCGCGCGCGCTGAGGCCGGGGCTGCAGGAAGCTGTTCGGTGGGCGGCTGGCAGTGTTGAAGCCACCCATGGCGATGAAGGCGCGGTGCTGGTAGTCGACCTCGGCCCAGGTGCGATGCTGATGCCAAGCACGTTGCACTCGGACGCGGCCGCGAGCATCGATCTCATGGTTATGGACATTCATGATGACGATGGAGTTGTTCGTGACGGCATTGGTGATGGAGACAGTCTGGATGCGGCCCTTGACGACCTCCTCGTGGACGAAGGTAGGCAGTTGGTGCGGAGCAAGCTGCTCGAGCTGCATTGGTGTGAGCCAGGGCACTAGCGTAGCAACGCCACCAGTGCCAGGGCGGGGCTCGGCGTCATCGCCGCCGACGAACTCGGAGAAGAAGAGCTTGTACGGGTACGGCTGCGTGTCCACCCACGTGCGGAGCAGGGCCTCAGAGCCATGAACCTCCTGGATGAGGATGACGCGTTGGCGGCGCATGTACTTCAGCAGGGCAGCCTGTTTGCGTCGGCGGCGCAGGCGCTTGTGACACATGAGGGCTCTGGCATTCCAAGTAATGAAGGTGCTGGGGACGGGGTCCTCGTTCGGTCGCCAAGGCGACCAGGGATGGTTAAACCCGCCACGTTGCTGACGCAGTGTCCGCGAAGAGCGCCTGGAACGCAGTGAGGACGCCGCCGCGATCCACTTCGTTGAAGTGATGGCCTTCGAACGCGTGCTCGTTCCACTCGAGGATGGCGGGGTCGGCCTGGCCCTTGACGTCGAGGCGTACAACAGGCATGGCGTTGCCATGGATCTCGCCCTTGGTGCGGATGGCTCTCCATGGCTTGTCGGGGTAACGATGCTGGAGCAGTTGCAGGAGCTTCTTGCACTGGATCTCCGTGCGGATCTGCTTGGGGGACTTGTCGGGATTGAGGTAGATATCCACTCGGGCACCTGTCGTGTCGGTGGGAACAAAGCGCTTCCACCTGCCAGCGGGATCTCGTAGGGCACGCGAAAGAGCGAGAGCTCGCGGGATTGCGGCTGCACGATCTCCATTGACTTGAAGAAGGAAGCGTCTGGACGGCTCGTCCCCCAGCAACTCCGCGGCGTTGCGGTCAACGTTGGCGGAGGCGATCCACTCCTGCAGGTCGTTGAGCAGAATGTCGGGCGCGATGAGGCGCTGGCAGCCGATGGAGAAGATGGTCGGGTCGGGGGCGCGGTCCCAGTCAGCAAGCTTGGTGAGGTCCGTGATGGGCGCCTGAGCTTCAGCGAGCGCGAGCGTGTCACGCATCTGGTCGATCTGCTGCCGCATCTTTTTCTGCTCGTCGGCTTGTCGGTCTTGTTCACGGCGGGCGCGTGCGACGGCATCAGGTAGAACATCCACTCGGCGTTCGGTAGCAATGACTTGTTGTGCGAGAATTTGGCGAAAGCTTTCGCGTGATTCATTGAGAAGAGCGCTGGCCTGGGCTTGGAAGGTGGCGGCAGCGTGTTCGACTTGAGTCTGCATGACTTGTTGAAGAGCAGCTTCGACACCAGGAGGCAAGCCTGAGATGCTTGGGATCGATCCAGGCGTGGCAGTACCTCCGGCAGCTTCGACTGAGGCTGGTATGTCCCAACCATGAGGGACGGCGGCGGTTCCGACGGCGGGCGTGCGTCCAGCGGTGTGTTGGCCACGCCAAGGGTCACGATCTCCTGCCAGTGGGTCTGCATGTAGGTGTCCTCCAGCGGCTGGAGCTGCCTCGACTGCAAGAGGTTGGGAGGGCGGAGCAATCCCTTGTCCATCGCGAGCTTAAACGGGGGCAGCCGCTGCGTGGCAAGCGACATCACCGTGGTGTAGAAGGTCGTCGGCATCCATCGCAAACGTTGGCGGAGTAGACGGGCGCGCAGACGAGCGACCAGGACGTGAAGGTGGCGCTGAGGCTCTCCCTGAAGCACGTACGAGTTGCGATGCGACGCCAGCTTCTCCCATGACGTCGAGTGTAACCTTGGCAGCTGAGGCACGGGAACATTTGTCATCTCGATCTTTGTCTTGGCGTCCACGGCGACGTTCTTTCCTTCTGCGTGACGGGGTGCTGCGGGACGTCGATCTCTCATCACTGCTTGACGACATTGTAGCGGACGGTAGGGCAGGACCAATGAGCGGCTGTTGTACAGCTGTCCAATGTCCAGGGCGGCTGCGATGCCAATGCGTGGTTGGCGGAGATGCTGGCGGCAGAACTCGGGACGGGCAACGTTCACGGCGGGGATGACGTGCTCGGAGCTGGGCTCGACGGCGGAGGCCTGGGACGCGGAGCACAGCTCGGCGTCGGATATGAGGTGCTCGGAGCTGGGCTCGACGGGCGATACGAAGTGCTCGGAGCAGGGCTCGGCGAGCGATATGAAGTGCTCGGAACTGGGCTCGACGAGCGATATGAAGGGCTCGGTCGAGCCGATATGTATGGCAGCCTGCAATGCCAAGGTGAGAAGCAGGATGAGCTGTGGGCTGCCGCACGCCCGTGGTTGTGGCGGCAAAAGCTTGGGGACTAGCCGCGGACTAGCGGTATCCATGAAGGACGCCGCAGGCACCATCATCTTGAGCCAAAATGGCTACGGAGGAGGAGGAGGAGGAGGAGGAGGAGGAGGAGGAGGAGGAGGAGGAGGAGGAGGAGGAGGAGGAGGAGGAGGAGGAGGAGGGATGATGATGATGATGATGATGATGATGATGATGTGATGATGAGGAGGAGGAGAGGAGGAGGAGGAGGAGGAAAAATGGAGGAGGAGGAGGAGAAAACCGAGGAGGAGGAGGACGAGTGAACGAAGCCTAGGAAGAGGAGGACGAGGAGGAGGAGGAACGGAACGGAAGGACCCGCGGGGGAGTACGATGATGATGATGATGATGATGATGGTGATGATGATGATGATGATGATGATGATGATGATGATGATGATGATGATGGTGATGATGATGATGATGATGATGATGATGATGATGATGATGATGATGATGATGACGATGATGACTATGAGGAGGATGAGCAGGACGAGGAAGAAGAGGAGGCAAAAGGAAGAGGAGGAGGAGGGAGAGGGGCGGAAATAAAGGGAGGCGAAAGGAAGGGCGATGGCTCCGGGAGCTGGGCGGCCAAAGGGGGAAGGGGGGGGGGGGCTTCAAGCCCCCCCCCCCCCTTTTGCACCAAGGGAGGGAGGGGGGGGGGCTTCCAGAGCACCCCCCCTCTTTCAAAGGGGGGGGGGTGGCTCACCCCAGCTCCATTAAATTAAAAGGAGGGAGGGGGGGGGTAGCTTGGAAGCCCCCCCGCCCTATCCGGCCACGAAAAGAGGGGGAGGGGGGGGGGTAGCTTCCGAAGCCCCCCACCCATTTCAAAGGGGGGGGGGTTCACCCCGGCTCAATTAAAGGGAGGGAGGGGGAGGGGGGTAGCTTGGAAGCCCCCCCCCCCGGACAATGAAAAAGGGGGGAGGGGGGGGGGCTTCCGAAGCCCCCCCCCCTTTAGCAAGGAAGGGGGGAGGGGGGTAGCTTCAAGCTGGGGCCCCCCTTCTAGTCTGTCGGGCCCCACGAGCGCGGTCTATCGAAAGAGACGAGGGACGAAGGAGGCGAACGATGCATTGCCCGAGACAGTGGGATGCCCGTCGCCCATCGCGGAGCAGCAGCCGCTCACTTACGCGACCCCGCGACCTCGCCCCGCACCCACCTGGGCTGCCGCAGACCGCCCGCCCGTCCCCGCTCAGCCGGCTGAGTTGGCCGCCACCACGCGGTTGGCCAGCTCCCCGTCGGCGAGGCCCAAGTGCAGCACCCGGCCCTGTGCGCCGGGCAACCCCGAGGCGGAAGCGCCGCCACCGCCACGGTCGCAACCACTGCGTGTGCGTCCCCTTTTCGGACGACCCCGGCACGAGCCCAATCGGGGCTCTGCTGGAAGCACATCTGGTGTGATGCGTGCAACGCGTAAGTCGCACCAGCCCTCTGGGCGTGCGTTCCCCATTCCATGTTTGCGCTAGAGAGGGTCCTAGCGGCTCTTGAGAGGCCGGCGAACGTACGGCGGATCTCGGAAAGGGTCCCGTCCCTGAGTTCCTGGTTCCGGGCTGCTTTCGGTGGGCGGCCAAGTTCCAGGGTTCTCTGTTCCAGGTCCAGAGTTGCCAGCGTCGTAACGTTCCCGGGTTTTCGACTTGTTGTGTGCGGCTAAATGCAGCGGTTCTTGTGGCCGAAAATCGAATGATTAAATCGACCGTGAACCGTGAAGTCTCCTATTGTTGAGAGCGCAGCGATGCTAGCCAGCGAGAACCCCAAGCAGTGTGTTTCTAGCAATCTGCGATGTGCAACCTATGTGGAACGAATTATGCGGTGCAGTCGATGTGGTGCAATCTGCCCTGTCGAATTTGAAGTTGCCAACTCCATTGCTCGCGCAATCATCACACACACCCGCCCGCAATTTGGTTTGCAAAATCCATGCGGCGGCGACTGCGATGACTGCTCATCTGGGCGTCCCCAGGAATCTTGGGGACACCTTGGGCCAGGACCACCTCTAGCAACACCCGAAAAAAGAACCGCGCTTCCGAACGGCCACTACCAATTTGAAACTGGTCCGAAGAGGCCCTGAGAGAGCTCCAAGATGACCCCAAGAGGGCCTCAAGAAGATCGGCTCTCATCAGCAGCGTTTCTGAATGGTTTGGTGGGACACGCGAAGCGTGCAGACTATAACATGCCACTACTAGTTATAGCACCGCCAAGCAAGCCATGGCAAGGCGCGCCTGGTGATATGGCAGATCACCGCATATCATACCACAGCATTGCATAGCAGCGTTGCACGATAATGCCATACCAGAACGTAGCATGACACATCTTAGCCCTTCGCCACACATGGCACAACAGATCGAGACAGAACGGCATGGTGTACTCTACCGTCGCAGAAGATACCCGATATATCAATATATATATATATATATATATATAGCTATATATATATATCATGCCATTGCGCAGGGTAGCACAGGATACCCACTCAAAACATGACAGAGCGTTGCGCAGCAAGATGTGGCAGATCATTGCCTGGCAAGGCAACTCATAGCATATCGTCGTGTTGCATCAACTGGCCGTGGGCACCCAAAGCGGACGACCTCCGAGGGCCGCGTGCGACCCGAGCGACCTCGAGGGCCCTGGGCGACACCCTGGGGCCCTAGCCCGGGACCGCCATGGGAATGCCACGGGGCCCGCCGAGGAAGTCTAAACGATTGTCCTGCTGATGCCTGCGCAGTCTAAATGATCAGAGGCTGCAGCACCGCGAGAGCGGATGCTCGAGCATCCAAACCTGTAGCCTCGAACCTCCATCTGGACGGTCGTGGAGTCTGCGAACATTCCGGGGAAGCGAACGCTCAACCCGTCATGAATACAGCAGACAATGCAGATCCACATCATGCGCACCCCTGAAACGGGTCTCTGTAAATTGTCTTGCCGAAGCTGGTTCACGTAATGCACTTACGTATGTGTGAGGCGCCATGCGCAAGGCCATATGTAGAGTCCAGGAGGTCTGCCGATTGGTCACACTGCCGAGGCGCAGTAGTCGCGCACGTTGCAACGAACTGCTGGGCGGACTTCTCCGCCCTGGCCCGTTCATACAAGCCGTATCTACGGCTGTCCAAGGACACATGAAGTTGGCCGAGGTTGCTCCCTACTGCTTGGAAACCGAACCACGAAGGACCATGAAGTTGTCCGTCACCCTCCCACGCGGCCGACCCCAGAACCCTGAATCCAAAATGATGGCGTCTCACTTTCATCAGGGGCGACGAAAGGGGCGAATAGCCCAGGGGAGAGCAATACGTGTATTCAGGTGCGCCGATGATCTATGTCTTCAAAACGGCTCCCAGGCGAATGCGTGTAATGCCCGCCCCTAGGCTATTCTGAAAGGGCCCTGGGACACACAACTAAATACACACAAATAAAAGGATTCCCCATATCCTTCCATATTTTCTGAGTTTTTGTCTCCCCCCCCACTTCCCGTATTTCCCCATATTTTATCTGGGAATCGACGATTCATTGTGTCTGTGTGTTTTTCCCCTCCTGACCCTATCGTCGCCGCCGATGTCATGTCCACCGCCTTCCGCCGAGCTTCTGCTGGCCGACCTGCCGCCGCGTGGCCTCCGCCGGACGGCGAGGCGCGCCGAAGGCGAGGCCTCGTCCCCGGACCCCCCCGACGCCCTGCGTTCCTGGCCGCGTGGAACCACCCAGAGGTCTGGACTGTTCCCTGGGGGCCGGCTGTCCATCCCTGTTCCCTGGGGCTGGACCTCGCCATCGCTCGGACGTCCATTCCATGTGTTTTTTTCGGTTTCGTGCGTGGTGTTTTCGCCAAATGATCAAGGATGCTCCTCGATGGCCCTCGCCGAAGGAAAAATGCACACGTCCGAGCGATGCCAAGGGACTGTTCCCTCTAGTCACAGCTTTCCGAGGGCACCGCGAGCGCTATCGCTCGCCGAGCCCCGTTGGTGCACTGCTTTCAGGCGGCGTCCTCTGCGGCGCCCCACGGGTCCACCACCAACGCGTGGGAGGCCACGTGGCAATGCGCCAGGAGAAGCACCGGGGCTGACGGTGGTGGAGTTGAGCAGCTTCCCACCCCTTGTGTCAAAGTGGCGGTCCTGGGGCCCGGCGACGGCCCCCCCCCAGTGCCGAAAACGGGGCAGAGCCGTCCGTCGAATTTTCTGGCGCGCCGAAGGGGGGGCGGGGAAAGGAGGGCGCCTGGCAACGCAGCGCGCCCGCGCAGGCTCCCCAGCACCGCCGCACGCGCGCGCCTGCAGAGCGAGGGGCCATCAGCGCGCGGGCTGACACGCGGAGCGGTCGAAGCGCGCGCTGGGAGGAGCGGAGGGGGGAGGACGACGAGGAGGACAAGAGGGAGGGGGGGAACGCCTGGGAGCACGGGCAGGCTGAGGGAACGGGCCCGCCCCATGGCGCGGCGGAGTGCCGCGGCGGGGCTGCGCCTATGCCGCCAGCGTGCGGCCCGGGGGGGCCCAGGAGGAGGAGAGGATGCAAAAGGGGGGGACGGCGGGGGGTGGGCGAGCCGGGTTGCCGGTGCGCGGCACTGCGTTGGTGCCGGCGTAGACGCTGCCACCCTGCTCCTCGAACTCCTGCGGCGGGGGGAAAGGGGACTCCAAATGGGCTCTCCTCCTCCTTCTCCTCCTCCTCCTCCTCCTCGTCCTCTTCCTGCTCCTCCTCCTCTTCCTCCTCCTCCTCCTCCTCCTCCTCCTCCTCCTCCTCCTCCTCCTCCTCCTTCTCCTCCTACACCGCGGCGGGTGGGTTAAAAAAGTCGTGGTTTTATCACAACGCCGATCCCAAGAAAGCTGGACCACCTCCAGGGGGCCCGTTGATTATCCCGGGCTGGTTTTGGACGGCCTCGAGGCCTGGCGAGGGCCCCTGAAGCCGAAAACGACCCCGTCGTGTTTTCACGCGACACCCAAAGCCCCGGCGTCATGACCTTTCCCCAGACAGCTGAACAGATTGGGGTACTGTTGCGGACGGACCCGCGCGACGAGACACCGTCAACAACAATTACACGGTTCAGGCCGTTTCTTCTGAGACACCCCAGGCCGTTTCGTCTGAGACACCCTCATAATGTTTGCTCCCGAATTGGTCAGGATCGGGCGCTTCGCCGGAGAAATCCTCGCAATTCTGAGCTCTGACATGCCACGCGAGAGGTGATCCAGCGCGTTTCGTCTGAGATACCCTCGCGTCTCTGAGCTCCGAGATGCTGCGCGAGCGGTGGGCCGGCGAGCTTCGCCTGAGACATCCTCAGAATTCTGAGCTCTTCACAGCTCTGAGCTCTGAGCTTCTTGCAATGTGACGCTCTATGGACGCAACGTAGCTGATGTAGCAATTGTATGCCGGGGTCGACACATGAGCGGTGATGCTCAGCTCTGATGAACGCCCTGTCTCCGTCAGTGGTCGTGTTCGTTTGGTGGCGGGCGAACTTCTGAACGATGCGGCCTGCGTTGGCCAGGCGGGTCTTGTGCAGCACGGCGTAAGAACACTCTTCAGGTGTACTCGAAACCACTTGAACAGGGGTGCAGAGACTGAATGAGAAGCTGACGTATGAGGAAGGTTGGCCGCCGCTGCCCCGCTTCACAAAGAACGCGCCGTAGTTCCATTCGGCGTTGACCAGTTTGGCCCTCTCGTCAGCATCGTCGGGCAAGTCGTTGTCGATGTTCCCCTCGTCGTTCGACCCCGTGGCACCCCTCGCAGGCAGCTGGGTCTCATCGGAACGAAAGGCTCCTGTGAAGACCAAACCCGCGGCACCCCCAGCAATGCAAGTACCCCACATAAGCTCCATCAACCTCACCACGGGGTGGCGATCGTACAACACAGCAGCGGCAGCCGTTCGTTCTTCCACGCTTTGAAACGCGTTCAACGATAAACCATTTTTGTTGGCAGATGCCGAAGCTGACATACTTGTTGCTTTTTGCTCTAGCAATGCGTACTCACCGTCCTCCATGTGCTTCTGGTCCAACATGCCGTCTGAATCAATGTTGTTGGCGATCGCGTCGCCAACCTCTAACACAAGGCGTCTGAACGACTCCGTATCTGAAGCCACGAACGGGTCAGCATTGGCCACAACTGCGTCGCCGATGCTGTCCTCCGCACCGCCTTCGGCGGGGTCGCCCTGGCCCTCGGGCTGCGGCGCCCCAGACTCTGACGGTGCCAACACGCCGCCGTGGTTTGTCAGCACATCTCCGAACACAGTGTACATGGTTATCCGACGGGCACGGCCGCGCCTGCTTTGAGCGGGCGGGGCCTCGACTATGGCATCCACAAGCGGGACTTCGACTATGGCATCCTCAGTGGCGGCGTCGACTATGTCATCCTCGGGCGGGCCTTCGTCCATGCCATCCTCGGCTGGGGACCCGAACAATGACCAACCAGACAGGACTTCTGACGGGCTGCTGCTGCTCGACTCCCCGCCGAGATCTGAATCCAATAGCCTGCGACGCAGCTCCAGCCAGTCGCCGCCCGTGCCAGACACCGGGGGTCCGAGCGACACTCACGCATGAGTCAGAGCTGTGCGAAACAACAAAAACGAAAGGCTCGTTTGAGCCAAAATGGTTACGGAAGCTCCCCCCACGAAGGCTCTCCGAACAAGCCCCAGAGACACATTCGTAAAGTGCCCCGCGCGTTCAATCCTATGGCGTTTCCGATGGCCGCCCTGGGTTCTTAACCTCGAATGGGCCCACCAAATGAGATGGGCGGGGCGCTCGAGACTCCTTCGCAAGTCACTCTTTTACGACGCACCCGCTGGAGACAACCTCACACATTGATCTGGGATTAGGCTCCCGCTCGAGACTGACGCCCCCAGTACTAACGAAAAACACGCCAGGCACCCTAAGGAGCGCGACGATACCTGAGAGAGGGGGGGATGGCGGGGCGATCGTGAATGCAAATAAGGCGCACAACGAAATACCATACGGGTTCGGAGCGAACAGGAAGGGATTATGTATACATTCGCATACGAATGTGGAGGACTCGCAGCCATGGTGGAGGACAATGCAGAGAAAGAGGAGGAGGAGAGGGAGGATATAGATGGTGGCGATGGTGATCACATGGATAACGCGAGTTTGGTTTTGGTTGCGGGGGGGGGGGGGGCGGTCGTGGAAAGCCCGCGCCCTCGCGAATGATGGGGGGGGCCAACCCCGTCGCCGCAGCTGCGGCTGGCCCTATCGGCGCAGCTGCCGCCTCATGGCACCTCTGCCCACGGGCATTTCTTGGGGGGCTATTTTAGGGGCTCGCTGTTTTGTAATCTAAATTCGCACATGTCGACTAAAATGTGCATAGTTTGGGCCTTTCTTCCCAGCAAGCTTACTGACGAGGCCAGGAAGCCTCGAGCTTAATTGTACTTTCGAATGTGGAACTGCCACTTGAAGATTGAAGATTTCAATTCAATCGGCAGCGGTGGGTAAATGGACCCCAGAGGCCGCCAAGGATCCACCGCAATCCTCCCCAAGCCTTGCGCCAGCCCACCCGCGCGACGCGGGCGGGAGTGGCGCGGGCGTGCTCCGCGAGGTGGACGATCTAGGTGCGGTCGATCGCAACCTTCGACGTGCATGGGATGGGCGCAGGCACATGCTGGGGCGAGCGACAGAGGTGCACGGTGCCCAGCGCCGGAAGGTCCTGGCGCTACTGGCGGCTGGCTGGTGTAGTTGAGCACGTCGCTCAGCCTAGCGCTCCGCCGGCGGAGGCCTCGTCCGACCCACAGGAGGTGGGACCAGAACGGTGTTGATACAGCAGGCCAAGGTCCCGAGCAGGGAAGAAAGCATGGCCATCCTAAAGGCAGCACGTTGTCGTGCTCCACCAGTGGCCCAAAAGTGATGCTCCCGACCCATCGACCGTCTGCCCAAACCATCCCCAGTCGGTGGACAGCGATCCAGTCCGGTTCGGCCCCAGGCCCAGCGCATGTAACTCCAGCTGCCCTCGGGCGCTTGAGGGGGCGGCCCCTGCAGGGGGAGTGGCCCTGCAGGCGGCGGCGTGGGCCCCACCCGTGCTCAGCCGAGGGTCCAAGTGGGTATCCAGGCCCGCCACCCCTCGACTCGGCTGGCGTCGGCCCCAGTCAGTTCCGACAGGAGAGGGGGGGGGCTGATGGGCACGTTTTCCTCCTCCTCCTCCTCCTCCTCCTCATTCCTCCTCCTCCACCTCCTCCTCCTCCTCCTCCTCCTCCTCCTCCTCCTCCTCCTCCTCCTCTTCCTCCTCCTCCCTCCCCCTCCTCCCTCCTCCTCTCCTCCTCCTCCTCTCCTCCTCCTCCTCCTCCTCCTCCTCAGTCTCCTCCCTCCTCACTCCTCCTCCTCCTCTCTCCTCCTCCTCTCCTCCTCCTCCTCCTCCTCCTCTCCTCCTCCCCTCTCCTCCTCCTGCTCCTCCTCCTCCTCCTCCTCCTCCTCCTCCTCCTCCTCCTCCTCCTCCCTCTCCTACCTATGGTAGTGATGGTGGAAAATGGACAGACACATCAGGGGCGGTGGCGCGGGCGGACCAGCATCGTCTTCTCTGCCGGCCTGAGCGCGGGCGAGTGGACCCAGCACCGACCCAGTCGCACCTGGAGCTGGGACAGGCTTGGCTGGCGGCGAGGCGGATGACGAGGAGGAGGCGGACGAGGACGACGAGAAGGAGGAGGAAGCAGGAGGAGGCGGAGGCGGAGGAGGAGGAGGAGGAGGAGGAGGAGGAGGTGCCTGTCCCGCACCGCGCCGTTTGCCACTGGAACCCTGGGCGGGCGGCGGCCCGGGCACACGTCCCTTCCCTCTCGCCTGTCCACCACGGGGGCCGGCCACGCGCGGCTACGGGTTTCACCCCGGATGGCTTCCCAGAGGTGATCGCTAAGCCCCCAGGCTTCGCGACCCTCGCACTTGGCTTCCTCCTCCTCCTCCTCCTCCTCCTCCTCCTCCTCCTCCTCCTCCTCCTCCTCACACCGCGCGCTGGGCCCAGAGGCTTCGCGGGCGACGCTGCCCTCGCGGGTTCGGGGGACTCCGGCCGCCCAACCCGCGCAGGCAGCCAGACACTGGCTTGGATGGCCAGGCCCGCGCATAGTGGTGTGATACCATGAGCGGCCCACATCATGTACCCAGCGGGCCATACAGTCGGGGCGTTGACCTAAGGAACCCCAAGTAAGGAACGAGGCCCCATTTTTCCATGAGGTGAACTTCGATGTGCCATCGAAAGCCAAGGAAAACCTAAGGCACGATGCGTAACAATGAAGGAACAACGGAGCCCCTCCCCAATGAAAAAGATTCCTTCTTCAGCGCCCCGACTGTACTTCAGGCCTCCTGTAGGCCCTCCGAAGCTACTGGACCCCAAATGGCGAAAGCCAGCACCCAAAAGTGTCAGCATAACCTGCAGTCATGCTCTGACTATCCAAGAGGGGGAGGAGGGGGGAACCCTGGCTTCGGATCCGCCGTACTTTTGGGCGATGTCGCAAGCAGGGCGGAGATTCCCGCCCTACTCTTCAAGCTCTTTTGATGTCGACTGCCGCTCTTTTTTGCCGTCGCTGTTTCTGCAAGACCTTCGCGGACAGATCCGCCCTGCTCGTCTGAGGCGGAAATATCAGCCCGACTCTGTCGCATCGTTCGGGGTGCCTTTCCCAGATCATCTTTCCTGTCGGGAAATTCCATCGGGAGCGTCCAGGAGGGGCGCTTCCAAGAGGGGGGGGTGCAAATCACGACCCGAGGCACGTGCGCGGACGAGAGGGCGGGGGCCAGGGAGCGCATTGAAATGACAAGATGAAGACATGAGATCCCCGGACATCATTATCATGACCCCCATCGTGATATCCGCCCCCAGCCTGGTCATCACCCCCCTCTTTGCAGGCCCCCGATCCCTAGAGTCCGAAAATCAACCAACGCACGGCCGATCCAGAGTCCGGGAGGACGCAGAGCCCCGGGGGGGCCGATGCCCGAGCGCGCGCGGATTGCCAAGGCCAGCGTCCTTGCGCCGCTTCTGAGCGGGCTCCACGGCCGCCGACTCGACCATGGCCGGCGCGCCGAGCACGCCCCAGGGCGGCTTCGGTGGCAACTCACGGGAGCCTCCAATGCCACCTTGCTGGCTCTTGCGAGTCGGCACTAACCGACGCTAGTCGACGCTAGATCTAGTTTAGATCTAGGCTAGATCGGCGATTTCCCATCGATTACCAGACTCCTGCGTAATCTAATGCGCTCCCATGATTTGCAACCGAAGGCGGCGGCGCCTCGTGTCCCTTCCCTGGGGGGACGCCGAAGGAGCGGACGAGGAGGAGAAAGAGGAGCCCCCGCCTCCTAGCCTGACGGAAAAAATCGCGACGGGAGGTTTGTGGCAATTTGCGGCCTCCGGGGGCCCTCACTGAGCCCTACGGCCATCGAGAAACGACCTGGGATGAAAAGCCGGTCTCGGGGAAGGGGTCCAGACCTGTGGGTCGACGTTGTAAAAAATTCGTGGCTTCCGAGTTCTGGGAGTATCGCGGCAGACCCTTCCTCGCCTCTCACACCTGCGGACCTCGTCTGCAGCGTGGATGGTATCATGGTTCTCGTTATGGTTCTGTTCGCAGTGAGGCACCAAAACGTCCGCCCCCTGGACAGCCCAGGTTGCGGCCCCGTGTGGACCGTGTAGAGGGATTCGCTCATCCCCCAGAGTGGGGCCCCAGCTGGAAGTGAGGGCAGGCAAGTCAAGCGAGTGCGCGGCCGACGCTTGGCCCCACCCCCTCCGCCCAGGTCGACCCAGGGCGCGCCGGGCGAGGGATCCCTGGCCCTAGCCCTACACTGTTCCCTATTTTGGTACACCCCTCCACCAGGCGACCAGCAGCCAACCAAGAACGATGAGGACACCATGCTCCCCCCCCCCACCATCCCTGTCAAAGAACCATACAAAAATCACTCTACCTCCACATTTGGAGCATGCGCGGCCAACCCGATGCGCCCCCCCTCCCCACCATCCCTATCAAAAATCGATACATAATACACTTTGGGGCAGAGTCTTGAGTCATGTTCGTGAGGCCCGCGAGCACTTTGTATTGTTTTTGATAGGGACGGCGGGGGTGTCAGCATATTGCCTGCTGTGCGCGCGGCCACCCCGCGATCACTGTCAAGTGGTTTTTGATAGGGACGGCAGGGGTGGTGGCGTATGGACTGCTGTGCGCAGGCCCACTAGACACAATGACGGGCATTGGTTTTCGACAAGGATGGTGGGGGGCGACATGTTTCCCGATGTGTGCTGTCACGTGCGCAGGCGCACCTGACACACTCTGCACGTGCCCCGAACGTGGCGCATCTAGCGCGGCTGGAGTATGCGGCACACCTGGCGCACACGGAGCACGTGGCGCATCTGGCGCACCAGGCGTGCCCGACACGCTCGGGCCCCAGGGGTGCCTGGCGCGCGTGGCACCGTCTGGCACGCGTGGCGCACCTCGCCCCAGCGTCGCGCACCACTGCCCATCCAAAGACGCCCGCTGAACATGCTCAGGCTCGGGTGTTCCTTACGTGTTGGGAGGGCGGGTGGGAATGAGCTAGACGGCTTGCTATCTAGGGGCTGTCTTTATCCCTACCCGTACCCCGATCCCTATCCAACTCCCCCCATCATGACCTCCCGTCGTGCCCCCCCCCCATCGTGAACCCTCATCGTGGCCCCCATCGTACATGACTGTGTAAAGCTGTTCATGGCCTTCTGCTGCAAGTGGGCCATTGTTTTAAAGCGAGGCCCTCAAGACAAAACGTTATGTCAGGCAGACGTGGCTCCGAACAGAAGCATGTCTTCAACATGTCGTCGAAGGGCCTTCCTGGTCCCTCCGTCTCCGGCTACTGCGAGAGCGCTCTGGGCGGGCGGGGAGCGCGAAGCGACCTGGGTCCGTCCGTCCGCGCCTCAGCGTGAGTGCTTCGGGCGTGTATATCCGTCACCATAGATTGGCCATCCAGAGCCTCCGCACAGTCGACCGACACACACACACACCAGCCCGTCGGGCTTCTGTGATCCAGAGCCCCACGTGGGCCCCGATGCACGAATCGTCCATCGTCGTCCAGACCTCCGCGCAGTCCATCTCTCGCACGACTTTTACTGCCGGCCCCCTTGCATGTTTCCTTTCCCTCCCGTCGTCGCTGCTGGTCTTCGGAGAGAATCATCGAAGGCCCGCGCGAATTTCGAGGGTCGGCAGTGGCCCTGTGCTGGCGCGCACAGCGCGGCAGGGACGTTGCATACAGGCGCAAAGTCGGCGAAGTCGGCAAAGTCGGCGAGGCACCGCCAGGGGCGGCAAAGCGCGGCAAAGTCGGCGAGGCACCGCCAGGGGGGGCCCAGCAGTCCATCGGCACACGCCCAGCGCCCGGGCAGCCGCGCTTCCTCGTCGGGGGCCGGCCGCCCGCGTGCTCGGCCAGGCGTCGCCTCTCGAGAGCCCCAGGGCGGCGCCAAGGCGGCCTTCGGAGCGCCCAGGCCCGCCGGCATCGGCTCCAAGGATGGCTGACGGCAGCTCACAGTTTTTTCCCTACCCAGGCTCTGCCTAGAGGGTTCTTACTCTGTTTGCTTAAAGGGGCCGGGCAGTGTAAAACGCCCTGGGCGGTTCCCCCAGTCCCCGCCCCGCGGTTCCCCCAGTTGCGCCCCCTGGGTTCCCCTAGCTTAGCTTAGCTTAGCTTAGCTTAGCTTAGCTTAGCTTAGCTCATATTAGCTTAAGTTAGCTTAGCTTATCTCATATTAGCTTAACTTAGCTTAGCTTAGCTTTGCCTTAGCTTAGCTTATCTTAGTTTGGCTTAGCTTAGCTAATATTAGCTTAGCTTTGCTTATGTTAGCTTAGCTTGGCTTAGCTTAGCTTAGCTTAGCCTAGCCTAGCTTAACATAGCTGTGCTTACCTTAGCTTAGCTTAACTTAGCGCAGTATTCGCACAGCATAACATAGCATAGCATAGCATGGCCAAGTCAAGCCAATCATAGCTCAACATATCATAACATAGCATAGCGCAGCATAGTATACACTTGCTTAGCATAGCACAGCGCAGCATAGCATAGCATCGCACAGCATAGCATAGCGCAGCATAGCATAGCATAGCATAGCATAGCGCAGCATAGCATAGCGCAGCATAGCATAGCATAGCATAGTATAGCATGGCATAGCATAGCGCAGCATAGCATAGCATGGCATACCTAGCATACCACAGCGCAGTCGGGCGTACCCTAGCATAGCAGAGCATAGCATAGATGTAGATGTAGGTGTAGATGTAGGTGTAGATGTAGGTGTAGATGTAGATGTGAGTCTCGCCGTTGATGTTGATGTAGATGTAGATGCAGGTGTAGATGTAAATGTAGCTGTCGGTGTAGATGTACATGTTGCTTTCCTAAATGCTCCAACTCCTAGGTAGGGTCGCACTGGGATGATTTTAATCACCCGAAAGAGAGCCCGTCCAGGGGCAAATCCGCTTCCCCTCAAGGGGGCTGTACCCGTGCGGCAAGGCACGAAGGCCAAGGCTGACGGCAACTCCAAGTGGTCAGAGATGGCTCCGCGGAAGGCGAACTCATGAAACAGAACTACTGTTACCTGGGATGGCATAGACCTGCTCTCCCCGATGCCGTGTCGGGCTCTGCTTCGGTCTATGCTGATCCGTCTTTGGGCTGCTTTGAGCCCTCCCTTAGCTTCTACAGATCCCTGTAAGCGGGCAGTGAAGGCACAGCGTCTTAACGAAGGATCGGTTGGTCCCTGGCAGCATATCTCTACCCTCGCACAAGCTGCAAAGGAAATCCATCGCATACCGCAAAGCGTCGTAGATCAGCCCATGGCTCCCGCAGCAAAGCTGCGAGCACAGTCATCTTGGCCACCAAGAGAACCCTTGGGGCTACTTCGCGCGCGACGCCAACCATTGGTTTTTCTTCCGCGAGCGTGCGTCAGCGGCACTTGCACAGGACACCGATTTAGGCGCAACGAGGCTGGAGAGTCGAAAGGAGAAGGGTAAATTCGCCAGCCCAGCCGGCCAAAGGCGTGCTGAGATCTCCGGCGAAAGGTCCCGAGCATTTGTATATTACTAGATCGCGCGCATGGGGCGGCCCCTGGGCCCCTGGGGGGCCCTGGATGCAAACTATCCCGGACTTGGCGCACCGGACTCGGGTCAGAAATGGCGTTCGGTCTGGGCGCGGCCTTCAACCCCGAACAGCACTCCACGAGCGCACCTCGGGGCCTGAAGGCGAACCCAAGAGAGTCCGACACGCCCCAAGAGCGCTCCAATGCGCCCCACATGTCATCTTCACGGTCCAAGAGAACTCCCCAACGCCCCAAGAACGGGGTTTCCAAAGAGGCCCCGAAAGGCCAACATCAGGTATTCTCCGTTGGTTGTTGAAAGAATTCAGAATTCTCGCCTTTTCGGCCTTCCGACGCCCCAAGACGGCCTAAGAAGCACCCAACATCGCCCCAAGACAGCCCGAGAGGCTCCCAAGAGGGCACCCAAAGAGCCCAAGAGGGCCCCAAGACGGCCCAAGAGGCCCCCAAGAGGAGGAGCCCGAAGTGAGGTTCCGAGCCCTTCCCCCCAGGGTGGCCTCCGAGACTGCAAGAAGGCCCTCAAGAGGCCTCCAAGAAAGGCCCTAAGAGGCTTCCAAGAGGCCCCACTAGGCCCCAAGAAGTCCATGCGAGAAGGCAGGCAAGCGCCAATATGCTAATGTGGACCAGAGGAATGAGCGAAGCGATCCGCCGCCCCACCTGGTACGGCGTGTGAGGCCACGACCGCATGATCTGCAAGGATTGTTCTCGTGGGACCCGCCCACCCCGTCCTTGTTTTCTTTCGGCCGCGTCCTTCCTCCCTCCTCCTCTTGCATGGTGGCACAATTCGCTCCAACTGAATCCCCGTTTAAGCCTCTCATCGCCAGCGCAGCCACCCTCTGCCTAGCCGCCGACGCATCAAAGTGTCTCGGGAGCCCTCTCACCAGCGCAGTTTTCACAACGACCCCTATCCCTCTGAACCTCTCGATCACCCCACTCCGCCTCCCTCGCCCCACTACGTATAGGCTCTCCTGGGGCTTTTCTCGGGGGGCCCCAGGCGCCCTTTCCGAGGGCCCTCCAGGCCTCCTCGCGGCCGTCCTGGCGGCTTGCCGGGGGCCCTCCTGGACTCCAAGAACCACGGGGCGGCGGTGCCTGCCCCCTCGGGGGCGTTCAACTGAGTGACGATCGCCGTGACGGCGAGCAAATCAAGAAGCGGGATGGGTGAGGAAGGGAAATGGAGGTAGGGCAAGGAACGGGGGGAAGGTGATCGCAAGGTGCGGGCCTCTGGAAGATGCCTTCTGGCTGCGCCATCCTGAAAAAGGCGCCCCTGCCAAGACGCAGCTGGCTCCTGCCGTGTCGACGCGGACACTGATGTCTGACACCGCATAGATCTGTTAAATCCTGGGCGGTTCCCCGCTATCCGACAGTGGTCCTCAACCTTGGCCGCCCGTGCGGGCGGCGCCGCCGCGTCGACGCGGCGTGAACCTGCAGAATGATCCAGTCAGAGCACGGCGCACGGCCGAAAGGCAGGCCGATCTAAAGGCACTTGGCGCCGCCGCGTCGACGCGGCGCGAGCCTGCAGTCACACACAAACGCACCGACAGGGCACGGCGCGCGGCCAGAAGGCGGGCCGATCTAAAGGCATTTGCATCCTGCATGCCCTCCGCGTGCAGGGTCGCTCCGTGCGGCGGTATGTAGGCAGCCTTGCGGCGGCGGAGCTGGCTGGAGGGGAAGAGCGGCGCGGGCGGCGGCTGGTGGCAGAGGAGGGGAGCAGGGCGAGGCAGGGCCGAGGAGCAAGGAGGAGGACAACCGAGGAACAGGGAAGCCCTAGACAGCCTAGTAGGATCCAGGACCACCTCGGCGGGAGAACCCCCAACCGAGCCTGGGTGGTCCTGTCTTGTCCGACTCATTCCTCAAAGGCCCACCTTCGAAGTGGTGAGTTTTCAATGCGGGGTCGCCGTGAGCTCTCGACCCTTTCCCAAAGCCGATCTTTTCGTCTCGGGAAAGGGTTTCACTGCCACGGAACCCCAAACCGCCCCCCACTCGTACAGGAATTGCCCCCCAAACTATGCGGAATATGATGGTGCTTCTTATTTGGGAGGTTTGGGGAGATCAGATTTTCCTCCCCGTCCCCATCCTGAGCAATTCTTCGAGCTGCGCCCGGGGTCGTCAAGGCGATACAGAAGAGCCCAGAGACCGCCGAAACGAAGACGTGCTCGTCGCCGTCGTCGTCGTCGTCGTCATCGTCGCCGTAGCCGTCGCCGTCGCCGTCGCCGTCGTCGCCGTCGCCGTCGCCGTCGCCGTCGCCGTCGCCGTCGCCGTCGTCGTCGTCGTCGTCGTCGTCGTCGTCGTCGTCGTCGTTGTCATCGTCGTCGTCCTCGTCCTCGTCCTTGTCTTCGCCCTCGTCGTCGTCGTCATCGTCGTCGTCGCCGTCGAGGTCGTCGTCCTCGTCCTCGTCGTCGTCGTCGTCGTCGTCGCTGTCGCTGTCGCCGTCGCTGTCGCCGTCGCCGTCGCCGTCGCCGTCGCCGTTGCCGCCGTCGGCGTCACCCTCGACGACGTCGACGTCGACGTCGTCGTCGTCGTCGTCGAGGTCGTCGTCCTCGTCCTCGTCCTCGTCCTTGTCGCCGTCGTCGCCGTCGTCGTCGACGTCGTTGTTGTCGTTGTTGTCGTTGTCGTCGTCGACGTCGACGTCGTCGTCGTCGTCGTCGTCGTCGTCGTCGTCGATGTCGTCGTCCTCGTCCTCGTCCTCGTCCTTGTCCTGGTCGTCCTCGTCGCCGTCGCCGTCGCTGTCGCCGTCGCCGTCGCCTTCGCCGTCGCCGTCGCCGTCGCCGTCGCCGTTGTCGCCGTCGCACTCGACATCGACATCGACGTCGCCCTCGGCGTTGACGTCGTCCACGTCATCGGCGTCGTCGGTCGTCGTCGTCGTCGTCGTCGTCGTCGTCGTCGTCGTCGCCGTAGTCTTCGTCGTCGTCGTCGAGGTCGTCATCTTCGTCCTCGTCCTCGTCGCCGTCGCCGTCGCCGTCGCCGTCGTCGCCCTCGACGTCGACGTCGACGTCGACGAGGCGGCAAGGCAGCAGCCGAAGCAGGCGACGACGACTTCTCCGTCGTGAGGGAACTGGCCCGGCGGAGGGAATCGACGATGCAGCGCCGATAAGTCGGCGACAGGCCCCCAATAGCGAAACCGCACGTTGCTGGGCGGGGTGGGGGCTATCAGGCTTCATCGGCGAGGAGTGGGCGATGGGAGGTCGACGCACCCCCCTTGGGCCAATCCCCCCCAAACGCTATACCTTGGCTTTCGGGCCATACCTCGGCTCTCCGGTGGCCGTTCGGGACAATCCAGACACCCCCGGGAAGCACTCGGCGAGGCGCAGCCGCTGGAGAGCACCCCGAGGCTGGACAGCCGCGAAGAGCCGACGACAGCGTCCGAACACCTCCGCCCTCGAAGCGTGGCCCCCGACGTCGGCGCCCAACGCGCGCGCGCGCGCCTCCCCCGGCGGCGCCCGACGGGCGGTCGGCCCGCCGGACGTCAGCCGCAGCGGCAGCTGGCAGCGGCGAGCCCCGCCGCGGCGGGCAGGCCGCCGCAGCGCCGCGGGCCCGCTCGCCGCGATCGGCCGCTGCGAGCGGCCGCCGAGCCCGCGGCGGCCTCCTCACGCGAGCAGGTCGAAGGGCTCCGCCGCGGGCCGGGCCGCGGCCTGGCCGGGCCGGGCCGCCGCGGGCCGGGCGGGGCCCGGGCGCAGGCCGCGGGCCCGCGGCCTGCGCGCCGGCCCTCTGGGGGGGCCGAGCCGGCCCGGGCTCGGGCGAGGAGGGCGCCCGAGGTACGCTGGCCTTCTGCCTCGGCGCCGGCGCCCGCTCGGCGCGGGGCGCCCCACGGCCGGGAGCGCTCGCTCCGCCGGGTGTGCCGCGGCGGCGGCCCCGGCCACACGCTGCAGACTCTGCCGACGAAGGGCGTGTCGCTCTGCTCTGCGGGGCGGGCGGTTGGGATAGGGCTCGGGGGCTCGGGGTGGTGACGCTCGGGGGCCGGGGAGTGGAGACGCAGCGTGCCGCGCCGAGGCGTGGCGGGCCAGAAGTGGCGGGCGACACGCTAAGCCAGCGTTCCCGCCCGCAGAGCTGGTGGCAGGGAGGCCAACGGAGGTGGGGGCGGCCGCGGAGGCCTCCTCCTCCTCCTCCTCCTCCTCCTCCTCCTCCTCCTCCTCCTCCTCCTCCTCCTCCTCCTCCCACCCCCTCCTCTCCTCCTCCTCCTCCTCCTCCTCCTCCTCCTCCTCCTCCTCCTCCTCCTCCTCCTCCTCCTGAAAGTGGGCGAGGCGCTCGGGTCGGCACCCACGACGCGCACCGAAGGATTGCTTCTTGCAGTCCCTGATGTTTTGTCCCTGTCACCGCTTCGGCATCGTGTGGGAGGCCGCGAATCGGGCCCCCCCCAGGGCCCCCACCCCCAGGACGGGCCAGGCCGAAAAGCCGCCCCTGGGGAAGGGGTCGGCAGCTCTGGGGCCCCAGATCGGAAACGTCCCCTCGCCAGATGTCTGGGGCCTTTGCTTCAGAGGCGGAGGCAGGCAGGGAGGTGGCGGGAGGGACGGAGGAGGAGGAGGAGGAGGAGGAAGAGGAGGAAGAGGAGGAGGAGGAGGAGGAGGAGGAATGATGATGATGATGATGATGATGATGATGATGATGCTGATGATGATGATGATGATGATGATGATGATGATGATGATGATGCTGATGATGATGATGATGCTGATGATGATGATGACGGTGGTGGTGGTGATGATGATGATGATCATGATGATCATGATGATGATGCTGCTGATGATGCTGATGATGACGATGATGAGAAGGAGGAGGAGGAGCAGGAGCAGGAGGAGGAGGAGGAGACGGAGGAGGAGGAGGAGGAGGAGACGGAGGAGACGGAGGAGGAGGAGAGAGGGAGGAAGGAGGTGGATCGAGCCCTCACATAATAATAAGGGGCGAGAAACCAGACAGACCCAGTTCCACAACACACATAGATAACATGAACATCTTTCAAAGACAAGTTCCCAGACAATTGCAACACATATTTCCACATACGTTCGATATAATATAAAAAAGGATTTCTCCCGCCAGCCAGTGAGAATGATGTGCAAATGATCTTACACATAATCGAACACTATATGAACAGAATTTGAAAATCATGTCCCCTGTCTGCAACCGAAAAATTCGTGAACATAACGCGCCCTAAACCCGCGATACCACCCTCTTCGTTGTTGACCGCGCTCCCTCTGGAGGAGGGGGTCCTTTTCTCATCCGCTGCAGGCAACTGGCGTGGACCCATGACATGGGAAAGCCGATGAGGGAATGGAGAGGAGTAGTGGAGGAGGGAGGATAAAGGATGGAGGACAAGCTAGGTGCGCTCCCTGCACATCTGACACCCAGGCCCCGCGAATGTAGCGCACATCTGGATTAACTTCTTAGCGCGAGCCCCTGCGAAAGTAACGGTTTGGGTCGGGGCAGACAGAGACTGCAGCCTTTGGGTACATATTTTTGGCCTCTTGGTGTCTGTCCAAGAGGGCCTGACGACGGCTCAAGATAACGGCCCCAAGACTGCCTAAGATTACCCCAAGAGGGCCAAAGAGGCCCACAAGATTGCCCAGTATGGCTCAAGAGGGCCTTTAAGAGGGCCTCTGGAGGCCAAAGCATTGATTTTGCGTCAGTTGTTGTCTGTTGTTAGCATCCTCGCATTTGTTTACTCTCGGGGGCCCATGGCGGCCCAAGCAGCCTCCACGATGGCCACAAGACGGCCCCAGAGGCTCCCAAGAGGGCCCCAAGACGGCCCAAAAGGGCCCCAAGGTGGCCCACAGAGGCCCTGACGACGATTCAAGAGGTCCCCAGGACAGCCAAAGAAGACCCCAACAGAGTCACAAGGTGGCCACGAGAGGCCTCCAAGACGACCTCCGAAGGGGCCAAGCGGCGCAAGAGCGCCCCAAGACTGCCCAACAGGCCCCCAGAAGGCCCCATCCAAGATGGCCTCCAAGGCGGCTCAAGATAACAGAAGATGGTTCAAGATAGCAGCAGATAGCGTCCGACATATCTTCAAGAGGCCCGTCGAGGGACACGAGACGGTTCCAAGTGCTCTCGGAGCCTCCCCAGGACCCCCCCGAGAGGCCAACATCCTTCCCTTCAGCCGATGGAAAGTCAATGAGTTTGACCTTCTCGCCTTTTCGCTTCCGATGCGTTTTTGGGCGGGCCTCAAGATGGTCCCAAGATGGCCCAAGAGAGCCTCAAGAGGGGCCCAAGAGGCCCCCAAAGCAACCCCAAGAGTGCCCAAGATCGGCCCAAGAGCGCCCCAAGAGGCGATTTCGATGGCCCCGGGGGGCGGGGAGGCAAATCGAGGACCCCCCCTTCTTTAATCGATAGCCTCCAAGATGGCCTCAAGAGGCCCTCCAGGCCTCCCAAGAGCGCCCCAAGAGGGCCCAACAACGGCCCCAAGAGCGCCCAAGAGCGTCCAAAAAGCGTGCCACGAGGGCCCCAAGAGGCGGTCTCCGTCCTTCTCCTCCTCTTCCTCCTCCTCCTCTTCCTCCTCCTCTTCCTTCTCCTCCTCCTCTTCCTCCCCCATCAACCCTCCTCCTCCTCCGCCTCCTCCTCCGCCCCCTCCTCCTTTTACGTTAAACAGACTTTATGTAACCTCCTCCTCCTCCTCCTCCTCCTGCTCCTCCTCCTCCTCCTTCTCCTCCTC